TTTGTCTTTAAGTACCTTCCCCTTTATGATCATGACAATCGCTTTCCCTCTCACCTTCTCCTCTCCATAACACAAATTTAATTCCAACAATACATTCAAACAAAGTTACTGGGTCTAATGTTTGTCTTAACACAATCTTTGAAAATTTATTATCTTTCTCTTCCATCTAAAATCAATACCACACATCACTTCTTCACTATCCTACAACTTTTCTAAATTTACCCAAAAAACTGCAATCAGTTTCACCCTATCCAAAGATCTACACCCAACAAACAACCAATAAAATATCTCCACTCCTTAACAATAACATCAAATCTGTTCAAACTTGTTTACAACCAGTTCTCCAATAAAATTCTCACATGCAACAACAATAATAACAACAACAAATAATCAACTGACAACCTACCAGATTGGAAGAGCGCGTGACCTGTACCCTGCGCGGGTTCTGATAATCTTTACTTAACATGCATCCAAACAACACAACAATCAACTGGAGCTGGGTTCTAGTTATCCAACTCACATATATTTCAATCACAACACTTCTTTTTCAACCACATAACCAACTTATATTATTTCAACAATGGAGTTGTGCCCCATGAGCAGCAATGCTACCGTTAAAAAAAAAAGGCAGCTAAAGCCTAACCAATGTGAATAAAAGTAAAGCACTTTTATTGTAAGTGGAAGTGAAATACCAGGAAGTTGTGCTCCATAATCTGGCAGCTTATGCCAGTGCTTCTCTACTGCTGCTGGAGTCACGTCCAGCTATCGAAAAGGAAGTGGTAACCTAGGTAAACACATTTGATTTGTGCCCTGCGGGAGGGATTGTTAATTCAAAGATAATATGTCTCCAAACTCTAACACATATTACCTCTATACAACTATTCCATTCAAAACATATCCAACTATATATGGTTTCGGAGAGCAATTAACCCTGACTTTAAACTCAACATATATAGTGATTCCATATCTACACATTTTATTCTTCAAATCACCAAACTGACACACTCTTTTAATTAAAGTGATCTTGCCCCTTTCTTTATATATATTAATATTGTAGATAGTTCCTTTCTTACTTTTCCCTGCTCCAGGGTTTTTTATTTAGAAACATATCTACTACAATAGGTGATAGACTAATATGTACATATTTGTCCATATATCTCATATCTTAAAAATTAATTATGTAATAATAACAAATTACGATATTAATAAAAATCATGAGATATGTCTCACCTTAACATTAAAAAAAAAACTTACTATTTAACTATATAATAAAATTTTTTCTACTAATATAACTTCAAATATATAGCAAAAAATAGCAGAATATAATCTTTTACAATAAATATAAAGCAGCCAATAAAAATATTTCAATTTTTTACGATGACAAAAAAATTAAATTAAGTTGTTTTTTAGGTTTCTGTAAAACATATACAGTCTGAAAATATAACAAGTATGTTTATACTTATAATAGTATTAATAATAAAGTAAATAATACTAAGTGGGTCATACAAGTGATATGAATAAACCAATGAAAAAAGTAAAGTAACTGGAATATTATATCTCTCTCCATCTTTTTTTAGGATATTTGAGACTTGAAATATTAAAGAAATTATATTTCTATAAGATATCTAGATAAGTATCATGCTCTGTAATAATTAAAATTCAAGTTAAATAAGTTAAGATTATTGGTATTTGATAAAATACCAATAGGATTTATAGTGTTTATCTTATTTGACTAATATGGATTATAGGATAAGTTTCATATATATTTTATTTATTTTCTATTTTTATCTTTTATTTTTATTTTATTTTATATTTTATTTAATTAATTAAGCATATATATTCTTTGAAGAAGATTAATTATATATATTTTTTTAATTATATATTTTTATTATATTTATTTATATTGGAAAAATATATATTTCAGAAAACTCTTTTTTCTTTGGGAAATAGCAAAGTTGTTTGATTTCTTTCATATTTAATAAAGTTTTCTTTTATTAATTATAAACAAATACCTTTTTTATAATTTTTAATATGAAATATTACATGCTATAATAAGAATTATTAAAATACCAATATTAATTTTTTAAACTATACAATTGTAATAATTTATTTAAGAAGTACATAACTTTTTAATAATTTAAAATTTATATATTAAGAAGAAATTTTTAATAGAAATAATTTTTATATAGCTAAATGGAAAATAAAAATAAAAAATAACAAATATTTTTAAAAATAATCATTATTATTTGATATTAAATAAATATAACATTTTTAAAACAAAAAATATTTTTTTTGCTGATTAAAATATAAGTCATATAATATAATTGTTTTACTAACAGAAGAAGCAACATGTGATTTATCTCAAAACTTGATTAAAAAAATTCTAACTATAATAAAAAAAAAGTCTATATAAAATATTAGTACAACTAATTGTAGCAAGATTTACTTGTATTGTATATATTTGAAGATTTAATAAAAAAAAATCAAAAAAAAAATAATAATCAAAATTTATTAAATAGAATAAATTATATTGTTAAATATTTTAATTTAAAAGAAAATAATTGTAATTAACAATAAATTTTATATTTTATATTATAATAAATTTATTAATATTATTTAAATTTATTTTTTATTTTTAAAAATATTAACTATATTAATTTGAATTAAATAATTAATTGAAAATATAATAACTTAAAAAATTAAAACATATAAATATGAATTTAAAAAAATTTAATTAAATAACATTTAGTTACAATAATTAAAAAATTATAATTAAATTAAATTAAATTAATAAAAATTATAATTATATAAATTGATCAGTTTTAATTTAGTTTATAAAAAATCAAAACCAATAGTTTTCAGATCAAATTAGTTTATAAAAAATTAAAACTAATCAGTTTTCAAATCAAATCAATTTTGGTTTTAGTTAAAATTGATTTGAACTGAACTATTGTAATATTTACTTATGAAGTACTAATTACTATACTATGGATTTACAGATTTTAAAAAATTTAAAACTTGATTTATAGATTTATAGCATAGTAGTTAGTACTTCACAAATCAAATTATAAAATATCAGTTTAACTTTAGATGAAGGCAATTAAATAGAATTAATATAGTATCTAATATCATAATCTGATAAGTGCTATTTCTTATAGAAAGCTGATTTACAGTATATACTGATTCAATAGGTATTAAGATTGTAATCTCTAAAGAAAATATATAGTATAAAAATTAATTAATTAATTGTTATTATAATAATTGTTGAAAATAAGAAATATAACATATTTGAATATATAAACAGAACTATATTTTATTATAACCAATCCTATATAATATTTGATTTATAATATGATCTGTGGGTCTATAGCACAATGGTTAGTGCTCTGTAGGTTAAATCACAAGATAATAGTTCAAATCCTTTAGGAACTAATGTGAAATCTCAAACCAAGAAGAAAGGATCAGCATCTTCTGATCACTGTCACAAGATACCAAGTCCAGTTCCAGGTAAAGGCAATTGGATTGTCTCAATATGATATTTGGTGTTATAACCTAACATACATTGTTTTCTATAAGAAGTCAATTCACATATTAATCTAACGGACATTGGAATTGTAATACCAAGAAAAGGTATAGCAGCATAATGATCATCTGGCAATGTTATAATAATCGTTATCAAGTTTGGTGCTTTCCCCGTTTCTTATGTATGAAGCATGCTTCCTTACCTCTTTAGTCTACAAAACTATAAAAGAAACAACCCAAGTTTTTATATAACCAAAGCTAGAGCCACAAAGACTCCTTGTTGAATATGGCTTAGTCCACAGCTGATTGTATTAGAATACAGTTCTTCGAGTTTTTATTTATCGGATGGTGAGTAGGATTAGAAGGTGCATATCCTGACACATTAGCACTCTATCTATGCAATTAGAACTTTGGTGCTAATAATATAGGAAAAATGGAGGGCAATAAGTTGATCAGAAGATAAGAGTAATTTGAATCTTAGATAGTTTTATTTGGGAATTAGTGGTGGTAAATTTGTAAATATGAATTTGTACATGCTGCGCAAAAGATAACCTAATAAAACAAGATATACGCCAGTCGTTGAAAAAAAAAATTGATTTATAATAGTTGAAGCTCTGGTCTAAACTATTCTAATTCAATACAAAGCTTAAAAGAATAATACTTGCCATAAGTGGTAAGAAAAGTTATGGTTTGTATAAGTTCAGGATTGATACAAGTTATAATTTGATGTTTAAGCAATAAGGTAAAAAATAATATTTGAATCAACTTCCCAAGCATTATTCCTTTCTTATAAGTCAGATTTAAAATAGTTTAAATAGTTTAAAACTAGTAATAGGATTTTTAGAATTATACCAAGTAAATCATTAAGTGATAGAACCAGGATTTTAAAATAAAAGTGCATATGTGAGAAATAATCTGCAAAAAGTATATAGTGTACTAATTTGTATAAGTCCTTGAATATAATATATATATTAATAAAGTCTTGTATTTATTGCACTTGGCTAGAACTTTAAAAAGTATCAAATTGGTATCAAACTAATATCAAAATAGTATTAATCTATAGTAAATTTAATATATGGATTGTGACCTACTCATATGATTTTATAGTAAATTTAAGTATCAAAGTAGTATCAAAGTGGTATCATTAAGAGCCCTACACTTGACCACTTTAAAAAAAAAAAAAGATTGAAAACTTGAAAAATAAAATAAAATAAAATTAGCTTATTAATTTATATTTAATAGTTATTTATTTAAAAAGTAAAAAATCTTTTATTTTATTGTACAATATATTGAAAAATTTTGAAAAATTTTGTACAAATGTTATTTTACAAAATTAGCTTTTGAATTTGTAAAATTAAAAATTTTTTATCTAAACAATGAAATAAATAAACAATAACACTGCAGTATAGCAGTACTGTAAAATAAAAGAGGCAATAAAATTTTATAATTCTCACCTATTAGCCTATCTTGGCTTCACATTAATCTTTTTTAACTTCCAAAATCTTCTCTTTTACCCTATCTAGGTATATAATGCTTAGTTTCTGAATCAAAAGATATCCCGCACTCAACGCACCGAATATTCCAATTAAAAATACCGAAATTATAATAAGAAGAAACAGCAACATTACAAATCCTCCACCGTCACTCCCATTACATCCTACACACCAGTAACACCCAGCACATTCTGTTCCATAACCTCCACAAATACAATATTCATTTCTCGTCGAATTAATACCATTAATACAGGAATTGATTATCAAGAAACACACACCTATAAGGGACATTATACTTATCCCAATGATTAGATGTAGAGCTTCCACGCCCAAAATGTTAGTGTGTGTCCAAGCATTTGAATCAGAGGGGGGTTTATTCTTGTCTCTTATGTGCATATCAATCGCTTTTACAATCCATGAAATCCCATAAATCACCAAAATAAACACCGTAGCAGTCATGGTGTGAAGAAACAGCGGGCTCTCTACTATTTTTGCCAATCTTGGTCTATAGAACTTATACTCATATTTACACACTTCACATCGGTATGAAGCGTCATGACGTACAGAATTATTGCGCCATTTATTCAAACAGCTTAAATGGACATATTCTAAAGAACCCTTACATTTACATGGAGAGATTAGTCGGTCTTTTGTGTACGGTAACTGAAGACCTTCATTTTCGTCATGTGAAGTATCTAGCAGTTCTGGCTCTTGACAGATTTTACAGAATTTCAAAGGCACCGTATCTTGTAGCCAATCTCGAGACGAAATGGAAGTATCACGCTGGGTTCGTGAGTTGACAGAGGTAATTGAGGGATATTGAATCGGTAATGGTTGTGCGGTAATGGTGATTGAGGTATAATCTTGAGACGGGGAATATTGTGATGAAGAATATGGAGGAGGAGCATTAGGATGCATGTTTGATTCATTGTTTTCTTTGGCTAACTTAAGTGTTGTATCGAGATTTGTGCTTGAATTGGATTCATCATTTCCTTTAGATGGCTCAGGGAGTGGAGAGGCAGTGATTGGAGAAAGGGTTAAATTTTCAGATGGGTTACGTGATATTGAAGTTTGAGCAGAGTCCGAGATGGTATTTTTATTGCTAAGTGTTTCTGAAACCGGTTCTAGAGGTTCTGCTGTTACCTCATCGTTAAAACTGGTTTGTTCTTCAGTTTCAGAGAGTTGAATTTTTTTATCATGAGTATTTTGCGGAAGAGACATTTTTAAAGAAAGCTTAGAAACTAGAAGCTATTTAATACATGATATCTATAATTACACTGCAGAGAATTGTATTGTGAAAATCGGTATTTATTTAATTGGATGCCGCAATATGTAACAGCAAAATTTGGAAATGGCTTATAACCGCCAGTAGTCAATTTATCTGAAGATCATAAAAGTTTTCTTTTGAATCGTCAGTCAAATTCATATTTATAAAGTCGATATATTTGTACATTTGTTGAGAAATCATTATATTTCTATCCTGCATTAATACCTTCAGTTATTTATATTCTGCATGTTTTTTACGTTATCTTCTTTATTACCAAACTTACGTTTCAAACCAAATATGCATACATACGTATTAATTCCCTATAATAGCTATCTGTTTCATTTCGTATTATGTACGCATATAACCCGTTTCAAAAACCTCTAACCTAAATTATCGATATGAAAATATAGTAAAACCTGTATAAATATATTTTGATTTATTTTTACTATGGGGTTAGATCAATGGAGAGTAGTGCATTTCATTTGAGGAAAACGAGAGGTGTATTTAATCAAAATAATGCAGGATATTCAAGACTTGTGTTATCACATTGTAGTAATAGAAAATCTAATATATGTTCCTTTCTTACTATTATACAGTATAAATTATTCCGAAAATTTACAAAATTATCAACAAATACATCTATCTCTTTTTCTCCAATAAGAGATAGTAAATTATGATAATAGTTTACTTTTAATCTTTAGTTTCGATAATATTTTTTTAAAAAAAATAGTATAACGTATACATCCAGTATAAATTATTTTGCTATCAACTCAATTTCAAAATTCTTAAAATAATTATATTATGATTTAATTAGTTTATATATTTTAATAATAACTTAATTAATTATATAAAATAATTGAATAAATTGTATCAAAAATTTATGAATTTTAGCAAGATGTAAAGTATATATATATATATATACAGTGCCCCCAATAAATGAAGGACCACTTAAAAATTATTAAAATTAATCGGAAATAGTTTCTATATTTCAAACTTTTTATTT